TATGGTCCGGGGCTCCCACCGCCCCCGAGGTGCGCGGGCCCCTCCAGGCCGGTGTGCAAGGGTCACCCCGCCTCCCGGCGCGACCCCGGCCCGTAGCTCCGGGTCGCCGGCGACCGCTGATCCCGCCTGGCACCCCGGGAGAAGGAAGAAATAAAGAGCCCGGGTTCCTGCGGAGGACTGTTGGCGCTTCATCCCGCACCCGGTCTTCCCGGCTCCTCCCGGACATGGGGAGCTGCGCGCGGCTACTGCTGCTCTGGGGCTGCTCCGCGGTGGCCGCAGGTGGGTGGTGACGCGCCTGGCCCCCCACCCCTCTTCCCTCGCTCTTAGGTACTCCGCTCAGGACTCGGGGTGCAAGGGAGTGCGCTTCGGGAGCGCCGAGCTCAGCGCCCGGGGATGAAATGAGTGGCCATGTTCCGCCTCCTTTCCCCGGTCTCCGCAGTTTAAAATACTATTGATTTTTTTTTTTTTTTTTTTTTTTGCAACTGCGCTACACATGCCCTTGGATAACCCGATATCATGGGTGCGCCCTGCCGGAGATACATGACCTTGGTTTCTTTCTGGGTTTGGGTTAGTGAAAAACTGCCTTTCCACTTTGTGAGGGAACAAAGGACCAAGCTCGCCATCCCCCGGCACTTCATGGCCTGAGGAATGATGGGGAGGGGTGGCCCGGCGACCCTGGGCGCGCGTGGGCCAGGGCTGCTCTCTCGTCGGGAGAGATGCCTTCGTGCCCGACCTCCTGCGGGGTACTCGGGAGCCAGGTAGGGACACCGGGACGAGGTGAGTGCCCTCTCGCCGGGGCAATGGCTGGAACGGAGTGAGACCCGGGTTGGGACGGTGAGTGGTGATCGCTCTGGGTTGCAAGGAGCGGGCTGACCGCGCCTGGGGAATTGGTACCCTGGCCGAGGCTCCGCGGGAGGTCGGGGGCGGGTCTGCTCCCTGTCTGGGGAACTGGAAGACCGGCAGGGGCGTCGTCAGATGCGCTCTCCCTCCCACTCCCATCCCGGCTTTCTTGAGCTACTCTTGGCCACCCATTCCTAGCTCGCCCTTTCTAAGTTTGGGAGCTCCTTCTGCTCCTCTCCCTCCCTCTTGAGGGTCGCCTGGTTTCCAATTAGGCGTAAGTGTAGCTCAGTATTTTAGGGGGAAAGAAAGTGAGGGACTCGTCAGCTGTCGGGTCTCTCACACACATCTCCCTTGCTCTAGAACGGAGAGTGTGGGCTGGAGGGACCGACTGGTGGCTAGCGAGCATCGTTTTCCCCTTCCCTTTGGCTTCTTGCACTCTGCCCCCCGAGATGCTGGCTCGCAGTAAAAGCCAGACTCTAGATTCTAGAATCTGCATCCCAAACCAGCCAGACTCATAGGAGCATCCTTGCCATACTTGACTGTTCACTTTCTTAGCGATGATTTCCAAGTGTCTTGTCCACCCACTCTTTATCTGGCTTCTATCTTTTCCGGACTTCTTGTTAGTTGAGGTGCACTGAAAATTATCCAGTACTTTACCCAAGGAGCCTTAAAGGTCCAAGATTTTACTTTATTTCTTCCTATTTATGCACCCCCTGTGTGGACTTATCCATGCTCCCCTAACCACAAAGTGAACTTTAATAAACCTGTCCCTTTCCAAACCATGTTACAGCAAAAACATGCAAGCAATCGAGAGGTTGTAAATAAATATCACAGGCCAAGTGTTTAAAGTCAAAAATACTTGTACGGGCAGTATATGATTTTCCCTGAAATGCTTTACAGGTGAGTCATAGCACATTGTGTGTTTGGGTGATCCTGGCCACAAGCAACTGTTGCCCCAACTAACCAGAGTCCAGGCAGGATGCACACTTGGATGTGACTTGTAAAGAATATGCCTCAGGAATCCCTTTCTTTTGGTTGCAAAGGCCATGCGTGGCTGTTGATCCTCCGTGTGTGAAATATCTCTGTTTTAATCTAAGCTGTCATTTCAACAGTGCTGTGATAACAGTTCCGAGGTGCTCCCTCTTCAGAAGCACAAACGTTCAATTAGCCAGAATTTGGGGTTTCACTTCCTCTTCTTTCTTTCCCTGTCTGTTTTAATGTTTAAAATAGACGATCTTACTTACGGTATTCATAATTAAAACAAGAAACCCAAATTAAAGGATTATAATATGTAGTCGGGATGTTAATAAGTGGATAATGCTTATCATTTTAAGTAATTTTGAAACATTAAAGTCTGTTGGATCTTTGTTTGGCTGGAATCGCATGTTTCTTTAAGAAGGTGCTTCAGTTCACAGATAATGTTTAAAGGTGCTATTGGTGGCAGCCAGTCTGTAAGCATTCTCCTGTTAAGCAAACAGGTAACTACTATATAACCTGTCCTAGTACTCAAGAGGCAGAGAGCATGTCAAATAAGCTTCTCTGCCATTTGGCAGTTTAGAGGGTTTTTTTCTTGGTTATATTTACTTAATATTAAAAATAGCTATTGCACATCTGAGTGCCCATAGTTTCTAGCTTTGCCTCCCAAATGTGATCCCATTGTCTATTGATTAAATATTTCACATTGCTTTTCCTAGGGAATTTGTCCCTTCATATTTTTTTAAAAGGGGCGTTGATTTTTTACAGAGAGGAAGGGAGAGGGATAGAGAGTTAGAAACATTGATGAGAGAGAAACACTGATCAGCTGCTTCCTGCACACCTCCTACTGGGGATGTGCCTGCAACCCAGGTACATGCCCTTGACCAGAATCAAACCTGGGATCTTTCAGTCTGCAGGCCGACGCTCTATCCACTGAGCCAAACTGGTTAGGGCTGTCCCTTCATATTTTTGGTTTAAAAATGTAATAGATTCAACATTTCCTCCTTAATGCATTCTCATAAATATGTTAGATAATGCTAATGACTGAAATTATACTTAAAAGACTAAGTTGGATGACCTTAAACACATTATTGTTTGGGGTATTATTTAAGTCATGATATCAAAAACAAATAAGTATATTTCAAATATAGAGAATGTTTAGAAAGCAAAGTACTTGAAAAGGGTTAGGCCTGTTATCTGTATCCCGGTGTTCCCACTTTCCTTCCTTTTGCCCTTTCCCCAAAGTGATTTTATTTTCCTTCATGTGAATTTTGCATCTGAGCATGAAATGCACACTCACACACTTGCATACACAAATGAGGTATAAATACAGAGTAGTATTCATGCTCAAATTTGGTAGGATTTCCTCTTTACTGAAAGTCTCAAGCTCTTTAGGGATCACTTGACTGTTGAAGATGGACTAGGTGGACAGAAGAGCTTTCCAGATGGGTTTGTCTTGAATAACATATGCTTTCCCTTCCCCAGGGCTGAGTGGAGTAGCTGGAATGAGTTCCCGCTGTGAGAAAGCCTGTAACCCTCAGATGGGAAATTTGGCTCTAGGGAGAAAACTCGGGGCAGACACCACCTGTGGTCAGAACGCCACTGAACTGTACTGCTTCTATAGCGAGAACACTGATCTGACTTGTCGGCAGCCCAAATGTGACAAATGCAACGCTGCTCAGCCTCACCTGGCTCACCTGCCAGCTGCCATGGCAGACTCGTCCTTCAAGTTTCCTCGCACGTGGTGGCAGTCTGCTGAGGATGTGCACAGAGAAAAGATCCAGTTAGACCTGGAAGCCGAATTCTACTTCACTCATCTAATTATGGTGTTCAAGTCCCCCAGGCCGGCAGCCATGGTGCTGGACCGGTCCCAGGACTTTGGGAAGACATGGAAGCCTTACAAGTACTTTGCAACTAACTGCTCGGCTACTTTTGGCCTGGAAGATGATGTTGTCAAGAAGGGAGCTATTTGCACTTCTAGATACTCCAGTCCCTTCCCGTGCACTGGAGGAGAGGTAAGGGCACACGTTTAAGTCTACACTGTACATAAGGTAGAAAAATGTTACCAGCCCACATTTTTTTAAAAGTATGAAGGTATACTTGTAGCAACATGAATGAAATTAGAATTTTTCATGAGCTTTATTTGTCATAAATTATTTCTCGCCCTTAGACATGGATGTGTAGTCATTTTCAAGCAGGTTGCCCACTGACTGGATTTAAGTTGGAATTCTAAGACTTTAATTTTTCTTTTTTTTTTTCAATATCATCATTCTGCTTAAGAGGTTTGAAAGGCTAATAATTTAATCAGTTAGCAGGACTACTTACTGTGCTTCTGAGGGAGCAGGAGTTACTGAGACAGCCTGTTCCTGGAGCCCATGCTGGTATCTTCCTGAAACTGTTAACATAAATAGGAAGTAAATAAAAATAAAGCCAAGGGAGAAAAAAAAATCTGTCAGAAGGATACATTGTATAACAGTGGAGTTTTATTGTTAAGATTACAAGAGTGCATAGCAAACAAACGAAGGTAGTTTTGTTTTTGTTTCAATGATACAAAAGTTATTTTCATATTCACAGATACATCAACCAATTCAGGGTCTTGGGTCTATCCTGGGCCCAAGACCATCTCAATTTTATTCTGCAAAACAGCCTCCTTAGCTATTAGTCCCTTTTCTATATAGGGTGATATCTCTTTGTTTCATATTTCCGTTCTCCTAAGGGGGAAACAGATCTTTTAAACTTATATGGATGTACCTAATATACCTCCAGATATATGAAAAATTTCAGAGAAAATTGGGTGAAAGCAGATTAAGAGAATAAAATACTTTCAGAAATACTGATTTATAAAAAAGAGCAGAGAGAAAGTATGAAATTTCTAATTTTGGTACATGTCATAAACACACAGATTAAATAATTGGTTAACTTAGGGGTGATTTTGCCCCATCCCCCTTCTCAGGGGACATTTGGCAGTGTCAGGAGACATTTTTGCTGGGGAGAAGGACTCTACTGGCATCTAGTAGGTGAAAGCCAGGATGCTGCTAAATTTCCTACTGTGCACATGACAGCACCTCTCCCATTCCCAATAAAGAACTATTAGCCGTAATGTCAATAGCATAAAGGTTAAGAAAGCCCAGACAAGTTGTTAGGCATACATCTAATGCATATAGTACAATGGCTACAGAGACTAAGAGAGGCACTCTTTTAGCAGTTATCTATATTTCTATTTGCAGATTTCCCTGGTGATAGTATTTAGTAACATTTATTGAGTCCCTACTATCCCAGGCACTGTACTCAGTGCTAGTAATTGTGCCTTTGGTTTGGGCGAGGGGGTGGGGGGGTGCTTGCCTGGGGCCTTGTGAAAAGGTGGGTTTGGGAAACCCTCCCCCCCCACTACCAAAGGCACATATGGACTTTGCCATGTGATCCAGCTATTTCTTCTGTGTGCACTTCGCAGACCAGGAATAGTGCCACTGGCACCAGAACCAAAGGATGTGGCACACACAGTACACAGACTATTTTCCATTTTTCTTCACGGTCCCTAAAGTTGGCTTAATATTGTAAATCCATGTGCACCCTGCCATGATAGGCATTTTTAAAGATACCAGGAAAAAAAAGAGACAGATAAGTTAGACTCATTGTTTTCTTATGTGGAGAACACTTGGTGTTGCAAACAAATGAATGGCTTGAACTCTCAAATTGCTTTGGAATTGATCCACCGGCTGATATCAGCTTCCTACATCTCAGTGCTACCGGGCCATGTGTATCTATGAAGTAGCAAAAATACAGTTTCAGTAACCAGATGGCAGGCATGCTTGCTTAGCAAACATTATATTGAATGTATTACAGTGGCCCAGCAATCACTTAGAGATGACTAAGGTAACATTTAGTTAACCTATAGTAAAAACAAAGATCTTATCTTTTTAAAACCCAAACTACTTATTGTCATCAATGCTTACATCAAAATTTAAGGCAGATAAAGACTAAAATCTGTTAGTTATTCCAATGTACAGTCGCATTTTAAATCTAGTTTTTACATTTTTTTCATTGTAGTTATTTCCACAGACATATTTCAATGGCAAACAACAAACAAACAAACAAAAAACATCAAACGCCACCTAATTCCCTTGAGAGCAAGATTTTTAAGTGTACATTAAACCATCTGGAATTTCCTCCCTTTAGAGGGCAGGTTGGGGAAGGAGTATTTCCATCCTGAATTAGAGAGTAGAAGAAAGTCTTCCTCAAAGGAAAAACCAGGGCAAGCCTTCCCAGAAAATATTATTAACCCACCTCTTCTATGTTGCTCTGGAGTATCAATTAGTTTTAAGCTATGAATTAATTTTACAGTACACCTCTGTATCATCAATCTATACCTTTGGAAATGGAGTGATGAGAAAACTAAGCCAATGAATCTAGTATCAAATAAGTAGTTTCAAATTTCATTTATTGCTTATTTATAATATTACAGACCTATAACTTCCTCCATTCTATATAAGACTTCTTAAGACTTCGCAAGATATTATCCTACTACTTAGGCTAAGATAAATATATCTCATACTTAATTTATTTCCATTGTTTATTCCAAAATACTTCTTTGGGCTTTTCAGGCCTTAGAGAGCCTGTAGTTTCATGTCTAACACACCAGATACCTACATTTACAGAACTGAAGGCACCAGTCATCCGAAGAGGACTTTAAAATTGTAGGCCTAAAAATCCACCCAGAAGAATACTTTTAATTTTTAAATAATATGTATCTTTATTGATTTCAGAGGGGAAGGAGAGGGAGAGAGAGATAGAAACATCAATGACGAGAGAGAATCATTGATCAGCTGCCTCCTGCATGTCCCCCACTGGGAATCGAACCCGCAACCCGGGTATGTGCCCTGACCAGGAATTGAACCATGACCTCCTGGTTCACAGGTCAGTGCTCAATCACTGAGACATGCCAGATGGGCCAGAAGAATACTTTTAAAATCAAAGTTAAGTCTGCTATAAAGAAACTTCCTAAACTGCCTGGCTGGCTGGTGTGGCTCAGTGGTTGAGTGTCGACCTATGAACCAGGAGGTCACGGTTCTATTCCTGGTCAGGGCATTTGCCTGGGTTGCGGACTTGATCCCCAGTAGTGGGTGTGCAGGAGGCAGCAGACCAATGAGCCTCTCTCATCATTGATATTTCTATCTCCCTCTCCCTTCCTCTCTGAAATCAATAAAAAAATATATTTAAAAAAACAACAACACTTCCTAAACTGACCAGCAGTTTCAAAGAATGGGGTAGGGCTATCCTAAAATGTGTCTCCTTTATAGGAGGGCAGATTGAGATTCGGAGGTAAAAGTTAGTTATGTCATAGAGCAAGGACTAAATTATAAGTCTTCTGGCTTTAAGTCTACTATTTGTTCCATAAAAACTATGTTCTTCTCCACTATCGACCCCCAAGAACTGCTCACAGAGAGATTATATGCATATCTCTCTCCTTGCTCACTCTCATAACAATTTGTTATTCACTTGTATATGACAAGAAGGTAAGAAAGAATTCGCCCAACAACATTCCTCAGAACAGGAATGTCCTCTGAGATGTCACTGGTGTTCTAGGAATAGAGGTTCCATTCCAAACCAGGTTGGGAAACACTGACTGGGCTTAACAAAATTAAACATTTATAAATACATACATATTCACATTATTTATCCTGTATCCCCAAGTGGGAAATATAGGCTGAAACACTTCCAAATTCATTTATCCCTAGGACCCTCTTTTTTTAGAACTGCAGTTGCTATCTCTCAGAACTCCAGAGATCCCCAGAGCCCAACTTGGGAAATGCTTGGGTGAAGGTATAAAGTGCTCCCCAAAATCCTGGCAAAGAGCACAGCCAGGGGAGATGTTGTTCAAAGGGTACAACATTTCAGTTATGCAAGATGAATCAGTTCTGGAGATCTAATGAACAGCAAACATGACTATCGTTAACAAGACTTTATTGTATACTTGAGGCCTGGTGCATGAATTCGTGCATGGGTGGGGTCCCTTGGCCTGGCCAGAGATCGAGGCCGATCGGGACCCATCTCGCCCAAGTCCAGATGGGGCCGATTGGGGCCGGGAGGTTGGCTGGCTGGCCCCCATTGGGGCCCCTCAGGGCCGCTGGCCTGGGGGAGGGACCACGGGAGGTTGGCTGTGGGAGCACACTGACCATCAGGGGGCAGCTCCTGTGTTGAGCATCTGTCCCCTGGTGGTCAGTGCGCATCATAGCGACCGGTCGTTCGGTCAACCGGTTGTAATGGTCTCTTAGGCTTTTATATAGAGAGATTTGAAATTTACTAAGAGGATAGATCTTAGTGTTCTCACTAAACACATGCAAAAAAGTAACCATCTGAGGTGATGGATATGTTAATTAGCTTGAAAATGGTGATTATGTCACAATGTACTAGTATATGTATATCCAATGATCAAATTGTACACTGTAAATAAATAATAATTCTTAATTTTCAAATATACCTCAATAATTTTTTTTTAAAAGATCCAGACAGGCTTGGTGCTTAGCATGGTTAGACATCAAGGCCCTCTGTCAGTTGGGGACTTAGTCTCCTATTTAGTTGGAGCAATAAATAATAATCACCTTGAAGCTAAAGATGATAGGTTAATTAGGCTTTTTCAGGATGAAAAGAAGCACCTCAGATTAGCTCTGGGTACAGAAAACAAGTAAGTGGGGAGATGTCACAAGCTGTTTTAGGGCCCACACAGTCAGGCCTCATGGAACTGAAATTTCAATGATCACTATTTAGGAAACAGCATCGTTTCAGTGACTCCAAAGCAACTCTAAAGGGATGTAGTTGTCATCTCCTTAGAAGTTAGCACCACTTGCTCCCTGTTCTATTAACTTATTAGAAGAACTCTATTCAGAATTGGATAGCAACCAACCAAACAGCATGGATATTTTTTTCCAGGGCATTATGAATATGGAATACTTTATGGGAGGCAGCAGCACAGAGAAGCCAAGAACAGAGGGGGTTTGGGTCTCATATGAAGGACTAG